CACTGTCTCTTCCAAAACAAAACACAGCAGCAGGGAGAGGCCAAGCATAACCGACTCCTGACAGGGGGGATGCCAACCATTTGGATGTCAGCAGAGGCAAAACCGCCATTAGGCTTCACTAAAGAGTCTTGTAATTTATTATCGTCTCTTTGTCCTCGTTTAGCTACTTTGTAAAATGCAGACATTCCTTAACATCCCGGCAGTGCAGCAGCTGTCAGACTGAGAGTATAAACACCAGCATGGCTTACTCTGCCATTTACTGCCAACTCAGCATCCAGAACGCATCAACAGGACACAGGTGGATGTCGAAACATCCTTCAGTGCCTAAACTTGGTCTTCCCTGATGAATGTAAACAGAATAGTTTGGTCATCAATGAGCTTTTCAATAGCACATAAATTAGGGGTAATCCACAGCTAGTTATGTACTGCACAATTTTAATGCACTACATGGTGGTAAATAACCACCAGACGTGCAGCAGTCTAGTATAAAGTCTAAAATTATATTATTTAGGGATTATTTTTTAATCATGCTGTATTATTAATATGGATTTGATTAATAATTTTATAAGTTTTTAATAAATTTAAATACAAAATTTAAATTAAAGAATCGAACCATACGGTTCTCCACACACGGTTCGGCACGCGCTAGGACCGCGGTTCAACTTAAATCTGACAACGCATCTGTAATATGGTTTGCTATAAATAACACGTAAAACAGTGTTCGGCTAATATATGTTTCTGTTGATGGATGCGCATTCTGGCTTCCCAATACATTACAACAGCGATGAAAAAAAAAAAACGTGGACAAACCATTCACTCTTGTTCAATGCGAATGCCGTATGCTGGAATATGAGCAGTCATTTATACCATCATCACCCGGGTGCTGATGGCGCGCGCACACAGGTGAGACCTGAACAGCACATGTTGGTATCTGTGTTTAAACTAAACTCATTTATTAAGCCTTGCCAGTTTAAACATTTAAGAGCCAGAGGACGTGAGCTCGCGTGCA